GCCCGTGGGCTGAGCGAGGGCGCGTCGAGTTGGTGTGTGTGTGTGGGGGGGGGGATCATCAGTGTCCGGAGAAGTGAAGTGACCAGCTGGGGCGTTCAGCGCTTTGCACTTACCAAAGGGAATTGACAGCGCTGCTGGACATTAAACTTTATGGAGTAATTACTTTCTATTAACCCGTGAATCTGCGTCCCTCCGGAGGTGATCTGTCCACCCGCAAGGTGTGTCCGAAGGTCCTCGTTAGGGAGGGCGGGAGCTGCTGTGTGCGGGAGCCCCGAATCCCCCGGGATCCCAGACGAGACTGAAAGGGACCGCCGGCCTGGTCTGTTGCTGTGTGTGAGCACCTGTGTGTTCAAGTGATATGAAGTTGTGACAGGAACTGACAACAGAAGATTCAAGGTTAAAACCGACACTTGGTTTGTGGTTCAGTCTGCGTTAGATTCTTCTAATTCTCTTAGGTAAAGGGGTAAGAGCAGCATGTTCTGAGACCAGTTACGGTAGATGTAGTTTATATTTTGTGTGGACTAAATAGAATTCATGCAGTATTTTCTTGGACTTTTTACTTCACATAAATAAGAGATGATTGAGAGTACTAGATAAGAGACTTGGGTTCAAGATTGGGAAATCGTTAAATCTTTGAAAATGTTTGAAAACGTTGAAATATATACAGTTATACATTCATTATGTGCATACGTAGATGTGGAAGTACTCAACTATACACATGTGTGTGTCTGTATATGCATGTGTCTATATATATGTGTGTGTATACACACATATATAACTGATAGATGAATGAGGGAGAACTATGTGAAGGGGAAACAGCCTTGAACTTCCCCCTGGGTCACAGAGATTGCCCCTCCTTGGTGGGGAGGCATATGGTGTCTGTGTGTGTGTAAGCATGTCTGCATCTGCCTGGTCTGTCTAGGTCGGTATATGTCCATGAACTTTACAGGCATTCAGTTCAGTACTCCTCGGTGCAGATTCCTCGTTCCTGTTTTACAGCCGAGCAGCCGCCAGCCAGCCCATCTGTTAAAACATAACATGCACTCTTCAGTGGGAGCACTGGGGTGGAGCGTGGGTAGGGGGCAACCCTTAGCAGAAACAACATGCTACAAACAAAGCCTGCCTCTTAAGTTCTATTTTCATTCAGTATTTGGCCTGAACTTGCAATTTTGATGTGAGAGAGAAGAAGAGTGTGTCTAGAAATGGCAAACTGCATTTTGTGAAATAATTATAGCCGTGATTTGGGAAGGGGGAACTTGCAGGCGAAAAAATAATCCCTCTAGAAATGTGGTGCTTGTCACATCACCATGCAACGCTGGTTTACTGCTTTGCAGTAGCATGCATTGAGGGAAACTGTTTTCTTTTACTTCAGAAAAGAATGCATTAAAACTGAACTGGTTTGCACAATACACACACACAAGAAAAAAAACTAACACCTTAATAGAAGTAAACAGAGCTTTAGCAGAGGCTAGAATTAAGACTACTCTACCTCGTAATTCTAATGAAATATGATTTTAGGAATTTATAACTCAGATATAAATTCATACTCACCCTAATCACTAGTTGCAGTGGTTTACAATTTATAGTTTAAAAAATAATAAAAGCGCTTTATCACAAAAATTCTGATGACTAAAAGGGTATGGGAGGAGTATAACAGCTTAATAAGTTCCAAGTGACTGATACTTTAAAAAACTATAAATTCCTTTAATGGCATAATTACTTTTGGTGACACAATAAAGGCAGTATTTTCAACATAGTTGATCTTTTTCCAATAATTTTATACTCATAATTACATTTTAATAAGGGTGTTCATTATATGTGGGCAAAACAAACTGGAGTGCTATGTAGGAACTCATCACAGGAAGCGTTGTTTTCATTTTTATGCTATGTAAACATTTTTGAGAAAATATACATATCCCTAATCCATGAGTGTCTTTAAATTTCTGATGGAATCTATAGATATAGTAATTCTCCGGGCTTGATGTGAATCATCCACATCAATTGGGTTTCTTAGAAATTTGGTTCTTAGGCTGAATGCAGTTCTAGGTATTCTATTCTGGAGTGGAATGGAGCTTAGGAGTCTCTTCTTTTTTTCCAGAGAGATTTTTGCTATAGGGCATGTTCACTAGCCAGAGACACAGCGAGAGACAGAAAGCAAGAAATCAACACTCCCCCAGGGGGGATGGCCACACCACAGTCCCTTCTTCTCCATTCCCTTCTCAAGATTTTAGGCACACATGCACAGCACCCAGCATGAGTTTCAACCAGCCAGGTCTGGGACTCGAACCACGGTCTACTATGTGAGAGTCCAGTGATGTAACCATTATGGCATCTGCTGGTCCTTGATTCTGCACTTTTAAAAAGTATTTATTTTATTCATGATAGAGAAGCATGTATATGTGAATGAGAGAGAAAGCACTCTTAGCAAGTCTCCTCATGATGCAACCCCCTTCCTCCAGCCCTACAGCTTGTCAATATCATGAATGCCAAAACACATCCGTGTTTACTGGGCCAGGTATCGGAATCCATGGTTGGCCAGGTGGCTTCTAGCTCTGCAATCTAATAAACTACCAAACATGCCACTGAGGCTAAGCCAGCAATCTGCATTTACGATAACTCTCAATTGATGATGATGTCAAGGGTCCCTTTCCCATAGTTTGAGAAACACTAGAGTGATATTTATGTAACAATAGAACAATTATATTCTGTGAGGTGATTTAACAAATAATTATTCAGAAATTTCCAGGTGGCATTTACAGGCCTTGTAAAATTTATAAGTTATTCATTAATTCTCTGTCCTCAACAATGGGCCCTATTTGTCCTGGGTTTGGAAATGTTTTGGAGTCCTCAGCTATCCCTATTCCCAGTTGACTCGAATTCTAAGGAAGTCTTTCTGACAAAGAAAGGTAATTAAGGCCTCTCCCTAATTTTAGTCCCTACACCTCCTCCTATTCCTGAGTCCATTGTATTCCTGAAATGCTCTGGGGTGACAATTCACATTGTTGGACATTTCTCCCTGGAGGATGGTAGAATCCTCTTCCTTAGGAGGCATGTTCGTCTCTTTAAAAGCTATTTTAGAACCAACGTGCACACGTCAGTGGGGCTATTCCAGACTGAGACGAGGTCAGGGATCTCCTTGGGAAACTGTAGCTGCTTGGCTTGTCTACCAGTAGATGGCCCACCCAGAGGCCCAGGGATTCCCATTGACTGAAAGTCACCTCAAGTATTTTGAGCTGTCCACTTTGCTGGGTAAATACACTTTTTCACCATCACAGAGAGATGGGTTGAGAGTTGATTGCTACCTTTTCTTCCAATGAAATCAGTGTGATTTTGATCTATTTACTATTGCCAATTGGTTATTTGTTTGCTATAGGGAGCATGTGCTTGCCAGAAACAGAGACAGAGACAGAGAGAAAGTATTCACCAGAGGCAATGGCCGTGCCATCCCTTCTCCTCCATTCTCCTCTCAGGCTTTTGGGCACACACATACACGTTTCAGGCCACTAGGTCTGAGACTCTAACCCAGCAATGGGGCCATGTGAGTCCAGCCGCCTTAACCACCACACCACCTGCTAGGCCCCTACCAATTAATTTTTTATTTATCATTTAACCCTAACATTTGGATTGTTCTTCCATATCAGACTGACATAATTCTCCAGTTAAGACTCCTAAACAAGCTTTGAAAGAGTCTATCAGAAATTACCCTTTTTCTTTCTGCCATCCAAGTAACAGAAAATCCAAACGACTCTAAGGGGTCAAAAGTGGCCAGAATATTTACTTCCCTGATGACAAAGGGCATGGGTAGGCCAGAGGCGCTGAACTTGGATTGTTCCCGGCCAGTGGATCATTTCTGGGACTTTACAGAGCAATTTCTGTTTAAAGAAGTACTTGGCAGGCATGTTGATAGGTCACTTCTCCTAACAATCCTTTGAAGACGATGATTTTTTCCCATTTTGTTACAGATGAGCAAACAGCAGCCATGAAAGGATAATATTTAGATCCTGTCTTTCATCATCAAAGATAACACCCATAACTGAGCATTGGGCCTTGCAGTCGAAGTTGTTTTTATTTAACATCGTGGTGATGTCATAGTGCTATGCTTAGTCATTCATATCATCTACAATTTTCACCTTTTTCTTCAAATCTTGTTTGTAATGA